CAACTGTATTTTAGATTTTCAATCTTTGTCTACTGTAGTTTCAGGGCAAACACCGTCTGTGCACAATCAACTAAATATCGCTTCAAGACAACAAAAAGAAGATAATAGAAAAATAATTTTGCCAGTTATAAAGTCTGTGATACTCTGTGGTCGTCAGGGAATATCAATTAGAGGTCATCGAGATTATGGTCCTTTGGAATTAAATGAACCAACACAAAAAGATGGTAATTTTCGCGCAATATTGAGATTTTATATAAACGCAACTGGAATATCGGAAGATAATAGCCATATATTAGCTCGAGAAAACTGTAAAAAAAATGACCAATATATCAGCTGGAAAATACAAAACCAGATTGATGATGCTTGTTATACAGTAGTGTCAAAAAAAATTGTTAAAAAAATTAATTTATGTAAATATTTTTCTATTATTGCTGATGAGACTGCTGATATCTCCGGTATTGAGCAGTTTTCACTTTGTGCCAGATATTTTGATTCTACTGATAAAATAATTCATGAGGACTTTTTAAAGTTTGTACCTGTTAATGATGTGAGTGGTAGAGCTCTAGCAGACACAATAATAAATGAACTAAAAAGTTTGAACATAGATATCAAACATTTAAGAGGTCAAGGGTATGATGGTGCTGCAACTATGAGTGGCAAATTTAATGGAGTTGCTACATTAATTAAAAACAAATATCCCACTGCGCTGTATATTCATTGTAGTTCTCATAACCTTAATCTTTCAATATCATATTCTTGTAATTTACCACAAATCAGAAATACTATGGGTACCATTGAAAGTGTTTACTTATTTTTTAATACACCTAAAAGACAAAAGTTTTTCACTGAACAATTAGAAATGTTTAAAAAAGAGGAAAGTATGAAAGATGATGGTTGTCATTCAAAAAAAGAAAAACTAAAACGTCTCTGTCCAACCCGTTGGGTAGAACGCCATAGCTCTGTTGAAACAATTTATGATTTTTTACCTGTCATCTTGAATAGTTTGGAAGAAATGATTACATGGCCGGATAAGGATGTAGCAACAAAAGCCAATCAAATAATTTTAACATTAGGAACTTCAGAATTCAACATTAGTCTATCTGTAATTATTAAACTATTTCAGTATACTAAACCTCTAAGTGTTTACTTACAAAAGCAAAACATTGACTTGGTTGAAGCAATTAGTCACATCAACACTATTTTAAATGAATTAATTAATATTCGTGAAAATGCTAAAACAGTCTTTAATGATTTGTTTAAAAATCATATTAAAAGATCAAATGAAATGGATATTGAAATAAAAATGCCAAGACTTGCTAAAAGACAAAGACATAGGAGTAATTTTTCTACAGAAAATCCAGAAGATTATTTTAGAGTATCAGTTTTTATTCCATTCATTGATGCTATAATACAACAATTAAATGATCGTTTCAATAATCATAAAGAAATAATATCTGGTTTTCAAGTATTGATAAATCAATGTGCTAAAAGTGATCTTCATCATCTTGTAGAATATTATCAAGAAGATGACGAAAGTTATGAAAAGGTTGTGTCTGAAGTTGATTTATGGCACAGATATTTAAATACAAATAATGTTAAACCTCAGAATGCATTAGATGCATTACTAACGTGTAATCAGGACTTCTATCCAAATATTTATAATTTATTGCACATCCTTGCTGTACTCCCAGTTACATCTTGTGAGTCAGAAAGGTCATTTTCTTCACTGAAGCGAATCAAAACATATTTGAGGAATTCGACTTCTGAAACCAGGTTAAATGGATTAGCGGTTCTTAACATACACCGTGAAGTTCCAGTTACAGAAGATGAAGTCATTGACGTTTTAGCTTCAATAAAACGCCGCTTAGATTTTTCTTTATAAAAATATATCTTAATTAATACTTGTTTAATATTTAAAATAATAATAATAATATATAATATATTGTTAATAAAACAGGTACCTATATTGTTTATAAAAATTAAGATGGTTAATTTTTTCAGACCCCCCCCATGAAAAATTCCTGGTTGCGCCACTGAGTCGTAGTTTACATATTTTACCGAATACAGACGCTGTTAACCTATTTAAGGTTAAAGAAATACGCTGCAATTATGCAACAACAAATACAAATATGGTTTTATATATTAAAATAATTAAAACAAACCTTTTTTTTCTTTCC